CTTAGAACAAGCTTAGCAAAGCACAGGGACCACGGTTCAATCCCCCAGCACCACATGCCAGCCAGCCCCGCCCCCTGGTGGGCTGAGCTGGCTACACACACACACACACACACACACACACACACAATAAATAAAAAATAAAAAAAAAATTGGTAGAAGGGCTGGCTATGGTGGTACATGCCTATAATCCCAACTTTTGGAAGGCTGAGGCAGGAAGATTGCTCTGAAATCAAGGTCAGCTTGGAAAGGCCTAGTGTGAAGTACTCAGGAGACTGAGACAGGAAGATCACCGCATTTGAGGCCAGCCTGGGCAACATAGTGAGTTCAAGGCCAGCCTGAACTACATAGCAAGAATCTCTCTCAAAAAACCAAAAATAGACCCAGTCTCAACGCAAGAACAAAAAAAGGAGATAAAAGTTAATAAAAATGTGGTACTAAAAGTACTAAAACTAACTGCAAGGCTTTTGTTCCTATTGAAGTGAAACTCTAAACTTCCAGCAGGGGGCAGCAGTCACTTAGGGATCGCCTCTTCCAAATGAGAAAAGGGGCCACCATTACTTGTTCCACTGTGTTCTACAAGAGAATAACTGAACTTTAGGGTGACAGACTTCCCAAAGGAAATAGCAAGAGCAAGCACTCTCCCCACAGACACTTGGGAAGTATGGAGGTTCTTTAACTTGCTTCCCTAGAGCTGCTCCCTGTGGCCCCTGCGGTCCTCATGGATAGATTCTCAAAGCTAGCTGGTGGTCTCAGTTCTTGTTTCAAAAACTAGCCTCTCCTGCAAGCTCAGTGAAAGAGGGGCAAGCACCACGTGGAAAGGTATCTGCTCCTCCCCTTTATTCCCTGCATAGATCTCTGTGTCATAAAAGTGAGGACAAGAAGCCCTAACCACCCAACAGCTCCCCAAGAAGTCTCTTCCAAGGCCTCCAAAGGCCCTGTCTTCTCTACATGAGAACAGGCAGGAGTTGCACACAAGCACCTCACACGTCCACCACCTTGTCTCTAAGACATCACAAGGTGTGTGTGGATGGGCTGGCCAGATAGCTCAGCAGATTAAAGCGCCTGCTTAGCCAGACACAGGCCCTGCCCTTGGGGCACGCTGAGATGGCAATTGAGACTGGGCATGGTGGCGCATGCCTGTAATCCCAGCGCATAAATACATTAAAAAATTTTTAAAAATAAGCAAACATGCACGTGGAGACCCACCAGGTGGCACTCCTCACCTTGTGCCCGCAGTGGCCCTCACAGCAGCCTGTCCCCCTGGAGATAAGACACTCAAGTGCCCACCCACCAGAGTCCCTGCAGGGATAAGTCTTCTTTCCACCTCAGATGGCCCAGCCCCAGATCACTATGACTTGAAAGTCTGGTCCTGCAGAGGAAGGAAGGGGTGGAAGGGGCAGCAGCAGCACTAAGGCCAGGCCAGACAGGCTTCCTAGTTCCTGTGAGCACGGTCTTGCACCCCCTACCTTATCCAGGAGCTCTCGTGTCTCCTCAGTCAGCGGGTCGTGGGAGAACATGCAGTCATCCCCATTGATGCAGTTCCCAGTCGTGTGGTACAGCTTACAGGGAAAGTCGCGTTCACAGCAAGTTAAGGCAAAGGCTTCACCTACCAGGTCCTACCCATGCAGGCCCAACCCCTTTTGTTCTGGAACTGAGGAGAGCGGACCCCAGAGGTGAGAGGACTTGCTGAGGTTACCCACTGGAGTGGCAGCAGACCCGAGGGGAGGCCTGGTCCCCAAAACTCCTAGTCCAGAACAACTTCTGGCCACTGAGCCTCAGACTATGAATGGAGGGGGAGCATGTTAAGAGATTTGTCTAAGGTCACAGAGCCAGCTGGAAAAACCTCAGGCTGTGTGGAGGCCAGTATGGAGCACACGCGCCGAGAGGACGCACGGCTGGCCCACCACAGCGGAGAGGGAGGATGAACGAAGATCCCTGCCTGCTCTGTCTGTGGGAGCAGCAGCAGCAGCTGCCAGCGGTGGCAAAGGATATCGTGCATGTAGGGGCAGTTCTCAGCTCGGGCACAGAACCCCGTGATGTAGAACTTGCATAGCTCTCGCTTCTTCGGCAGTTCAATGTCATGGCTGAAATTACAGTGGTCTCCCTGGAAGAGAAACACAGAAAAGGTAAGGCTGTGGAGCCACAGCCCTTGCTTACGACTGACTACGAAAGGAAGCATGTTGCCACTGCCAGCGTTCCAAGGGGCCAAGGACACAGCCAAGGGCCCCTGGAAAGGCAGGTTTGCCGACCCTTACACCTCGGCCCCAGCAGGGCCACACCCAAGCACCTCCTCTTGGGCCCCTTCCCTCTAACACCCCCATTCTCCTTGCTCTGTGCCACTGCCTTGGCTGCTGCTTTCCTACTCTCTTCTGTCTTCCTCTCCTTTCCCATCCTGCTCACTACTCACTTTTTTTTTTTTACCATTTGCTGTGCGGCAACCAGGGTTTGTCACCAACCTGCAATTCGGTCCCACGCTTCTTCCTAACAGAACCCTCATTTAATCTGGGGAACAATGTGCCTAGCTAAAAATACCCCACGTCCCAGCCTCCTTTACAGAACCAGCCAATGAGACACAGGCAAAAACTCTTGAAGATGAAAATTCCTGAATAAATGTGATGTCCAGAGGCACAGCAGCCACTGTGCCACCCAAGGACCAAAGCTACATGCTCGAAGACAGCAGAGGACAGCAGCAGCCCAGGTACCCAAGTGCCACTAAGCACTGCGCCGCCCTGCACTGCCCACCCGCTCTCAGATTCTTTGATCTGAGGCCAAGGCCCATGTGCTGAAGCCAGTGGGCCCACATTTTCCTTCACGTGCAACCAAAGAATCTGAGCACCATGACCCTACCTCAGGGGCACCGTGGCTGTGTTCTCCATCCCTCTCAGGAATCACTTCCATCACTAAAGACAGAAGCTACAGTACCCGCTTCTGTTTATCTTTTAGAATGGCCACTCATGTTTCTTTACTTATACATATATTGCAAACTTTTTTTTTTTTTTTTAATGGCTGGCTCAGCCCACCCTGGGGGCGGGGCTGGTGCAGCACATGGTGCCAGGAATTGAAGCACAGTCCCTGTGTTTGCCTAAGCAGGTACTTTATACTGCTGAGCTATCTCGCTGGCCCCTCAAACTTCTAAAAGGAGATGAATTTTAACTAGAATAGGTAATATTTCACATATAATGTATTCATTTGAAATATTGCATAACTTCTTCCCCTAGACAGAGGCACGGGAGTAGCAGTCCACAAGCAACACTTGGCTCCCACAGAACTCTGATCACTTGCTGGTCCGTCTCCTGCCACTGAACTCTTCAAGCCTACAGCCCAACCTAACTCCCATTGGATGGGCTAGTAATTCCCTCCCACCCCCTCAAGCTCAGTAACTTAAGCGGGACACACCACATCTTTGCATAAGCATTAACTCATAAATGCACTTGAGGCCACAGGAGAAATTTGACCCCCCCCCCAAAAAAAATCCCTAAAACCAAAATATTCTGCATGTCGTCTTGTTCTTGGTCCACCTCACTGAAAAGTGAACAGAGTCTGCTCCAAGCACTCTCGGGCATCTCTCAGCACTGAGTGTCCTGGGACCACTGACCACCACACCATCACTCCCACCTTCCTCCACAGTCAGGATGATCCCCAAACATCCCCTTCCCAGAGGGCAGCGTCCTCTGAGGTGACTGCATAGCTCCTTACCCACGTACACCGCCCTTCCACGAAGTACTTGCAGATGACTTTGCCCTTCTTGTCAGACTGCTGGTGGGGCTTGTCATGGTCGCCCCTCCGGTAGCCGCCTCCACCATCCTGTAAGGAACACAGAGCATGATGTGGGAGGACCGGCAAGGAAGGATGGAGACAGGCTCTGGATGGGTGAGTAACTGACGAGGAAGGGAAGAAGCGCTGCCAAGAGCACTGCCACAGCTGGGCTGCAGGTGGGCTGGGCCTGGGTGCTGATGCGGGCACCTGGAGCCGGGCGATGGAGCCCGAGTGCCTTACACCTGGCAGGAATGCTCCCACCTGGAGGACAGCCACAGCCCTCCTAGGAGGCCCTCCCAAGCTAAAAGGCTGAGCTGCTACAAGCAATTTTCTTTCCAAGGTGCAGAATCACCGAAAAGGCTACACGCTGCTAATCACGCGGCCCCATAAGCATAGCTTACTCTCCACTAGCAAGGCCAACCCATGAAAGGTAACGATACATCCAGAAGCCCTGGGGAAGGGGTGACGGAAGCAGGAAGCTAGGGCAAGACTCACAGAATGACTCATTGATGAGAAAAAAAAAAAAAAAAATATTCCCAGAAGGAGCCTTATCCACAAGCATCAAATCCACAAAGAGTCACTCACGCCCATGTCATCGTCATAGAAGTCCTCATCGTCGTTCATACTACCCTTGCTCATTCCGCCTCGGCTGCCTCCTCGGCCTCGGCCCCGGCCCATTCCTTTCCCTCGGCCCCGGGAGCCCCGGCCCCGGCCTCGGCTTAACCCTGCAGAGGGTAGAGAGTGAGTGTCAGACCCACACCCTGCACCCCACATGCCCCACACCAAACTCACTGCCCCTGACCCCACCCACCTCGGCCCCGGCCATCCTTGGACCGGCGGTACTGGCTCAGCTCCTTGGAGTAGTCATCATAGTCATCCTCAGGCATCGGCTCCTCACTTTCTCCATACTGGAATTCCAGAGAAAAAGAACAGGAAGGAGTCAGGGAGGACCCAAGGAACACACCACACTTTTGTCCCTTCCTCCTGGGCCAACCTTTGGGATGGTGGCCCCTGGCAGGGAGGTGCTGTGAGTGGCATCAGTGCACATCCTGCTGGGGGCAGCAAGAGCACACAGGAGCAAATGGATGGTCAGGACCCTGTCTCATTAGAGACAAGACTCTTTTTTCATAGCCTACCATTTGATGCTTTTCCTGTCTCATTCCACATGAGGAGCTCCTCTATTCCAAAGTAAACTCTGCAAGCACAGGAACCTGCCCTCCTGAGGTCTCCTTTCCCCCAGCACAGCCTCCTGCCCTCCTCCCAGGGTCCACAGCCCAGACGGCGCTCCCCACACTGTAGGAAACCTCACCTCCATCTCCTCCTCATAGAAGTCCTCTTCATCCTCCGGGTGCTCTCCTCCCACGGAGCCCCGGCCCCGGCCCCGGCCGCCCCGGCCCATGCCTCTGCCTCGAGATCCTCCACGGCTTCCTCGGCCTCTGTAGCCCCTGCCCCGGCCTCGGCTGCCTACATGGGGATTGGCACAGTAAGCCTCAGGGTAGCGGTCCCACCAGCAAGAAAAAGGCAGTCCCGTAAGTGCCCTTCTGGAGCCTGGATCCTGCCCCTCAGCATCCTGGACACAAGGCTACTACTACAGCCCTTGCCCCTGCATGAAGGACCCAACAGGAGGTGCTAGTCACACATGTAACCAGCACCCGGAACATGGCTGCTCCACCCTGAAAGATGAGTACAAAATGCACACTGGGATTTCACAGACTCACAAAAAGAGAGAATAGAAATCATTTGTCTAATTTGATTTCATGTTAAAATAAGATATGGAATATATCAGCTAATGAAATTGGTTATTCAAGCTTATCTGTTTCTTCCTGCTTTGTCAATGTGGCTCTGCAACATGTGACGTGACGTGGTGGCTGGCGGGCGCCTCACATCATTTGACAGCCCTGGTCTACGGGGTCCCCAAAACATAGGGCTTGGCAAAAGGAGGTGTCCAAGGACAAATGCATGGTCACTAGCAACAGACAGAGACCACACATCTGAAAAAAAGTCTCAATTAGAAAATTCCGGGACCAGGGATATAGTTCAATGGCACAATGCCTGCCTGGCAAACGAGTTTTTTTTTTTTTTTTTTTTTTTTTTGGTACAGGGAGCTTAATTCCCTGTACCAAAAAAAAAGAAAGAAAGAAAAAGAAAAAAGAAAACTCTGGTCAGGCCTTATGACTTATCCCAGCACTCAGAAGGCTGAGGCAGAAGTATCGCTGAGAGTTTGAGGCCAGCCTGAACTACACAGGGAGAGCCTGTATGAAAAAGACAAAGCAAGACCATGCCAGGCATGGGACCACATGCCTATCATCCCAGCACTCTAGAGGCTGAAGCATGAGGGTGGCTGTGAGCTCGCCGCCAGCCTGGGCTACACCCTGAATACAAGGCCAGCCCATACTACATACTGAGACCCTGTCTCAAATAAAAAAAAACCTCAACATGCCCCCTGGGTCAGGCTGTCCGTGGAAGTAAACAGTTCCAAGGCACCAGGCTGGGCCGCTGTCGCTGGTGCTCAGCCCTCCCCCACCATCCTCCCAAGGCTGCAAGCCCCAGGTTCAAGGTTTAGAGGTGTGGCAGAGGCCTGGGCTGCAGCCACACCTGGTCAGGTGAGTGCCTGCCAGGGATGAAGAAGGCAGTGGGCAGCTGAAGCAGCTGTCCCTTCTCTCCTCACAGCTCATCTCGTACTACCCAACCTCAGCCTGCTGGATCTCCTTTCTGACACTCTTACGTGGCACAGGCCAGCTTCTCACATGATTCCCCCTTCCTAATGATCGCTTGGGCTCCCTCCCAGATGTGAGCCTACAGGGCCTCCCCAGGCCCTGGAGTAGGCATGTCTGGGCCATCTCACCTCGGCCTCGGCTGCTGCCCTCCTTTGAGCGGCGATACTGGTTCAGCTCTTTGGTGAAGTCGTCGTAGTCATCCTTGCCCATGTCCTCTTCCTCGTCCCCCTCGTACTCTCCATACTGCTCATTCTCATAGTCTTCGTACATGCCGTAGCCCTTGCTGTCCATCTTGGAGTAGGACTTCTTGGGCAGGGATGTGCTATGTGATGGGGGGTACTGCTGGTGGGACTGGGCCCCAGGAAGAGGGGAGACATGAATTGGCCTCATGGCTGGGGCACGTGGACCATCTGTTCCCACAATTCCCCCAAATGACTCTAGAGCCTGGCTCGCCCCTGAAGGGCTGGGCCAGCCAGGTGTTGGCTCTTCAGAAAGGGCAGCCTCTCAAAGGAAGCAGAAACACAGGTCTTGTAACCCTGGGCAAGCCAAGGGCAAGGTAAGCAGCACTGTCTGGGAATGCAGGAAGCAGGATAACAATGGGGGTGGAGGACGCTGTACTCAAAATCACTCTAGAGCCCAAGATTCCAATTACTGTCCTCTCTTTAGTGTGCTCGACAATCATACTAAAGAGCAGTTTTGGGTGATGCTTTGCAAGGTGCCAAGTGGAGAAGAGCAAAACACGCAGACATAGAAGGAACGAGAAAGATGTCCTTCAGTGAGAAAACAGGCAGGTCCTGTAATGTGGCTCAGGAGCACAGCACTTGCCTAGCACGTGAGGACCTGGGTGTGATCCTTAGATGCGCACACGCGCGCGCGCGCACGCACACACACACACACACACACACACAGTGAATAGACAGACTATCAAATGCTCAGACAAGAGGGCCAAGAAAACAAATGAGCTACAGAGAATGAAAACACATGGAGAAACCATAGGGGCATGTCACTGAGACAGGGTGCCCTGGTGTACGCTTGTAGTCCAGGCTACTGGGGAGGCTTTAGCAGGAGAATCACTTAAGCCTGGGGTTCAAGGCCACCCTGGGGTTCAAGGCCAGCCTGGGTACCAGTATAACTTGCATCTCCAAAAAAGAAAAAAGAGGGGGCAAGCAAGATTAGCTCAGCGGACTAAAGAGCCTGCCATGCCAGTCCCACCCCCACTCCCACCCCCAGGATGGGCTGAGCCAGCCAGAGTCCAGGCACAGTGGCGCACGCCTATAATCCCAACACTGGAAAGGCTGAAAACAGGAGGATCACTATGAGTCCGAGCTGTATACTAAGACCCTGTTAACAACCAAATACATGTTTAAAAAAAAAAGGAGAATAATAAGGGAAAGAACTCAGTTCCAGGGGGCCTGCCCACTAGCTCAGTTGTTTAAGTGCCTGCTTAAACAAAGCAGTCAGGCTCCAGATGCTCTGGTTTGAACCCCCGTTTCTCACAGGAAACCAGAAATGCCCTCCAGGCATCTTCAGGCCGCCAAAAAAAAAAGAAATCAGTTCCAAAATACTACAGACTATTTGGTTCCAACTAAGAAATTCCACAAAAGCTCAAACTGTGGAGATAGGGAAAGGAGGAAGAAGACAAGGATAGAGAGAAGCATAGGCAGAGAAGCTATTGTGTGAAGTTACAATAAAACCCAGAACTGTAAGTGCCAAACACCAGTGAACACCATTGTATCAGTATGGAGTTAAGACCAAGTATTAAAACCAAGTAGCAGGCTAGGGCAAGGGTTAATGATAAGGGAAAAGTGGCGTGATGGGACAAGGGAACTGCACTATCTGTTGTTTCCTATAAACCTAAAACAGCTCTAAAATATAAAAGTCCAATAATTTTGTTTTTATTTATTTAGTACTGAGTACAGAGTCTACAGGGTCTTACTACA